GTCTCCCACAATGGTGCACAGACCCAAGGACTTGAGCCTCCCCCCACTGTTTTCCCAGGCCACAAACAGGGAGCTGGATCCAAAGTGGCATAGCCAGGATGGGAACTGGTGCCTATATGGGATGCTGACCCTGCAGGCAGAGGCTTAGCCTACTGCATTACAGCACCAGCCAAAGGAAAACATTTTAAAATCTGAAACCGGGTGTTTGTTGCAGATACCCTGGAAACCTTTGGTGAATATGCAAGGAATGAATGATTTTACTCATAGAAGTGAATGGAAAGAGGACTAGGTAACAGGGATGAAAAAGACTTTTCTCTGTGTGTTTTAGATGTTAGTTAACCGTAAAAAGGAAGCATTGAGTTCACCCAATTTTCCCTAAACCTCAATCATCCCCACCATGATCTACCATGTAATCATTATGATAGAATAAAATTTATATTAAAATATTTACCTAGTGATTTTTTTATTTTGGGGGAATTTGGAAATCTCAGTTTTACAGAGAGCAAGAGAGATAGAAAGATCTTGAATCCACTGGTCACTCCCTGAGTGGCCACAATGGCCAGAGCTGAGCCAATCCAAAGCCAGAGTCCAGGAGCCTCTTCTGTGTCTCCCATGCAGGTGCAGGGTCCCAATGTTTTGGGCCATTCTCTACCTGTTTTCCCAGGACTAAAGCAGAGAGCTGGATGGGAAGTGAAGCAGGTGGGACATGTACTGGCACCCATACAGCATCCTGGTAGTATGCAAGGCGAGATCTTGGCTACTGTGCCAGGTCCAAATAAATTTTTTTTTAATTTAATTTTACTTCTTTGTATTATTATAATTTCATGATACAGTTGCATTGGCCCTGGGACTTCCTTTATCCCCTTCTAAATTCCCTCCCCTCTCACTGAGCTCCATAATATCTTTACTATAGCACAGTTCTTTATATACAGTCATATGTCCATCATTGTAGGAATGGACAATGGCAGAGATTCCAGCATCCTATTGTCAAGACATAGTAAACAGTTTCATTGGGAGTCCATCTTTGTCTGGAAGTAGAGATACATACTGCATTGTCTCTTTACATCTGGGTAGGATATCTCCATTACACAGTTACTATACATCCCCTTACATGAAAAGCCACAAAAGAAAACCAACAACAGGAAGAAAAAAAAAAAGAAATCAACAACACCATGAAGTTAAATAACATGCTACTGAATCACTAATGTGTCACTGAATGATCTGTGAGTCATTGAATAATTTAATCAGAAGAAAGTGTTTTAAAGAGCTGAAATTAACAAAAAATATCAAAATCCATGATATATAGTTTTTGCTGATCTTTTTTGGTGAAATGTGTCTCCTGTAGGCAACAATAGATGGGTTTTGTTTTTTAATCCAGTCTACTAATCTATATTGTTTGACTGATGAGTTTAAGCCATTTACATTCCCGGTTAACATGAATGGGTGGCAATTTGGTTCTGTCATTTTAGCAATGGGTTGTTCATTGATTTAGTCTTCTGTTATTTTAATGTGATTTTCTTCACATTTACCTTTGGTTTTGGTAGGCTCTATTCCTCTGTCAAGAGAACATCTTTAAGTATCATTTGTAGGGCAGGTTTGGAAGAGGCATGTTCTTTTAACTTTTCTTTAATGTGGGAGAATTTTATTTCATTTTTTAAGACAAAGGTAAGTTTTGCTGGGTATGTTATCCTAGGCCGACATTTTTTTGCTTTTAGAATCTGGAATATGTCGTCCATTCTCTTCTGCTACCCTCATAGTAGTTCTATGGAAGATTAACATGCAATTTTACAGCTCAGGTGCTGGAACCAGTTTTTGCAATGTAGTGGATAAAGTTGTCAGTTGTGATGCAGGCATCCCATATGGATGCAAGTTCATGTCCCAGCTCCATGCTAATGGCCTGGGAAAAGAAGAAAAAGATGGCCCAAGTGATTGTGCCCCTGGTACCCATCAGGGTGTCCTAGATGGAGCTTTAGGTTTTGGCCAGACCCAGCCTTGAGCACTGTGGCCATCTGGGGAGTGAGTTAGTGGATGCAAGATCTCTGTCTTTCTGTACCTCTATCAAAATAAATAAACCTCTAAAAAAAAAAAAAAGAAAAGAAAAAAAATGAGCTTAAGTGCTGGAGTTATCCCTTTTCCTGCCTGCTCTAAGCTTTTAGCAAAATGAGGAAGGTGGTCTCCCTGCCCCAGCTCAATCTGTGGGCCATCATATACCCAAGACTAAGTTCACCTTATTTCTCTCCTGCAGGAAACACCCAGGAGCCCTCTGGAACCCACATGGCACAGCCTTCATTACCTGGAGCAGACTTCGGGTCTGACCTAGGTCTGCTCCACTCCCACGGCCACACAGGGGAACCCAGGGGCTGGTCTCACATCCTGTCCATTGCTGCACCTGTGCCCTCGCCCCAGCCACACCCCCAGCCTGGACTGCCTTCTCCCTCCAATGCTGCTTGGCTCTGGGGCCACCTTCCTTGAAACTCCATCTGGCAAGGACAGGGTCTTCTCCTTTCTATGAGCCCTTTTTTATAGGATTCAGCCTGCAGACTGCCTGGCATTTCTGTGCTCTCTCTATAGCTGTTCCCTTCCCCTTGGCCCAGGTCTGTGGCCGGGAACACAGCGGTTGGCTTCCTTCATCCTTCATCTGGCCTGAGGGTGGAGGCAGAGACACACTTCTCTGCTCCACTCACCGGGCCTGTGAGCACAGTGTGGGGACCCCTGCTTGCAAGGCCCTGTGGGGACAGCTCCAGCAGGCTCCCACTGCACCCACAGTCCTTACCCTGCAGCCAGGGGTACCTGCTAAGGAGGATGAAATGTCTCTCTGGCTCTGACTATAGGACAGCAGGGCTTCGGACTGAACCTAGGGCGAGACTCAGAGAGGGCAGGTGCTAATCCCAGCTTCCTGTTGGGATTTTCCTTGCCTGTGGCTCAGGGCCTACTTTAGGATGGCCACAGCTGCTGAAACAGATCTCCCTGCTCACCTGTTCTCAAGCAATGCTGAGCCTGCCAGCTTCTGATCAGAAGAAAGTGGTTTCGGGAACTTTCCAGTCTGAGAGATGGGACAGGGGATGCAGGTGCTGATTTCCCCACACAGCTCCCCTGCCTCTGGGGAGTAGTCACCCTCTTTGGTCAGAAACCAGGGGGTTCAGGACCGCAAGGGGGTACACAGGGAGCCTCACACTCCTGTGTGGACTGAGCTGGTACTTCCTGCCTCGGTCTCCCCAGAAACCTGGCTGTCCAATGTGGCCCTTAGCCTAGTCCCAGCCTGCTCCTTGCCTGCCCTATCACATTCTCCTCTTGCAGTGAATACCTTGATATCGGTTAGGCTCCGCAACCAGGAAACGAAGCCTCACCAGGAGAGCGGTCATTCATTCAACAAACGCGGGCCCCAAATGGGACAAACAGGGGCCCGAGGGTCGCGGAGGCTGCGGTGGGGTGATGCCTGTCCAGGGGCCGGGTCCTGGGACTAGGAGCGATTAGGGCGTGGCGCTACGAGGGGACAAGCCCAGACAGCGGGGCGTGGCGGGCACTGCGCGTGCGTGGCAGGAGCCTTAGGCGTCCCTGGCGTCGCCAAGGTAACTCAGCTGCAGGCCATGGACTCCGGGGCAGGTGGGAGCTGGGGTTGCCCCACTCCACCAAGTGCAGCTCAGACGGTGAGGGCTGCGCTGTGCTGCAGGCAGCTGGGGGCAGCCTCTGCAAGGGCTACTTCTTGTGGGAGGGGTGGGGTGAAGGAGAGACCCAACACAGAGGAGTTGAGGAGGTTGGAGAGGCTGTGGGGAGGGAAGAGGAGGACAGCGACCAGGTGGTGGCGTTGAGGGGCACGTTTCCCGGATTGGGAGGTTTGGTGTGGCCCCTCCTTTCTCCTCTGCTGAGTCCACACCTTCGGCCCCCAGCCCTGGGTAATCCTGCAGTCCCCTCATTGGGCCGCCCTGCCACCACCGCCGCCGCTGGGCCACGTTAAGGAAGGTGAGTGCGGCCTAACTGCAGCCATGTATTCGCTCGTGGTCCAGGCCCCAGGGCTGGGAGTGGGGAGAAGCCCCCAGGTCGCCCATGGTAGAGGGAAGGAAGCCAGAAGCCACATTTTGCTGACCCCGGCCCAGGCCTGCTGGAACTGCTGCTGCTGCAGAACGCGCAGGTGCACCAGTTGCTGCTCTGCCACCTGGCAGAGGGCTCCCTGGATCCCTTGTTCCCTGTGCCTGACCTGCAGGTGAGTGGGGGTGAAGACACCTGGGGCCCCAGGGTGGGGATCCATCTGGGGTCACCCCTGGAGGAAAAGGATGGGTCAGGAAGCAGGCTCACAGCTGTCTGGCTGGGTCTGTTGTGTACCAGGCCTGGTGACAGCCTCCATGGGGCCTACCAAAGGGGTCATGCCCCCAGTCCAGACAAGCCCCAGGACTGGTTTGCAAGAAGGCTTCCCTGCAGGGCATTCCTTGCTGGACTTGAGGCCCTGAGAGGACAGATACCATGGGACCCTGGTGCTCTTAGGGAGAGGGGTGATGAGGGGCAGTGATGGATAAAGAAAGGCTCATGGACTGATTGACAAGAGCTGCACAGAATAAGAGGACACAGATGGGGTGGGATGAGGTCAGGCGGTTTACAGAGGGAACAAGTGGCCCCTAACAGCCAGGTAGGATCTGACCCTTAGAGGAGCCTAGGGTGTCCACCAAAGGCCAAGGGGCAGAAATGGGGTGGAGGGAAGGGTTTGGGAAAGCACCAAGACTAGGTCCTGTTCTGCTTCTCTAGGTGTCCTAAGAGGTGGGGAGAAAGGAGGCCTGGGAGAGAGAAGAGACACTGCCAGGGCCCCACCACCTCAGGAACCCTGGGGATACACAGCCCACCTTATTATTGGGCCAGTGTGGGACAGGGGCATCTGAGTGGACTCACACCCTAGTTCTGCATCCCATGTGAAATCTTCCAGGCTCTGCTGGCCATTAAGCAGCTGGCTGACCTTAGCCAACTTGTCCATCTCTGACCCTGGCTCCCATGTACACAAGAGGGAATATACCATGCAGACAGAACTCGTGCACTCAGGGATAGCCCTTGTGTTCATGCTCACCCAGAGAAGGCAGATTAGGGGAGCAGAACAGCGCAGGGGGAGGAGCCTGATTCCCAGCGCTGTTGGCACACTCCAGGCCGGCCTGGTGGGTCAACACGAGGAACTGGAAGAAGAGATGGGCATCCAGGACGAGAGGCCTCTGGTGTTCCACCACCACTATCTGCCCTGCCTGCCGTCCGCCCTGGGCCCTCTGCTAGCCTGGCCTGCCACCCTCCTTCCCCCTCCACCATGCCGGCCCCACCTGCAGGAAACACCCAGGATTCAGCACTGTCCTCCAGCCTCCAGGAAGAGGGACAAGTAAGTGGGCCTGGGGGGCCTGGGTGCTGGGCACTGCCAGGTCCCTCCTTTAAGGCTGGAGGGGGAACACTAGAGGTCACTGCTGGGCCTTTAATGGGCTCTTTCTTCTTTCTTCTCTCAGGAAACCTGTGCCCCCGCCACCTCCCCCCAGTGCCACAGGGACTGTGGGTGCAGATGTACCCCCAGCTTCAGGTCTGGAGCTGGGTGGGTGGGCAAAGGGGCAGGGTGTTCAGGTATATTGGGCTGGGAGGGCTGTGTGTCCCACGGGTGTGTGGGGCATAGGGTGGGGTTCCTACCATCACTGCCACGGGCTCTGGGCCTGCCCTCTTCCTCCTTGGGATCCACTGAGGAGGCGAGAGGGAGTGAAGATGCGATGTTGTCTCCACAGACTACTACGACGCAGAGAGCCTACCCTGAGGGGTGACCCTCGCCCAGGGCCTCGCCAGTGCCTTTGTCCTCGACCTGCTGTCTCATGTCCTGTCTACCAGCTCTGTGCCCTCAGCTGGTGGCCCTTCCTACCCCTCTGCTTCCATGACTTGTCCCCAGCCCCCAATTCCCAGCCCCCAACGTCTGGCATCAGAGCTCCTAGAGTCCTGCGTAGGCCTGGCAGCTGAGGCTGCCCAGCTCTGCCCCACTGCTGCCTGCTTGAGCAGGGGAAGCCTGGGGACCAGAGCCCCAGACCCCTCAGCCTGGGATGGCATGAGCTGGAGTTGATGTCTCATTAGATGCAAGGCTTGTTCATGTCATCCCGTGTCTGAAGGGGAAAAGGGTGGAACATGATAGTCATCGCTTTCTGACTCATCTGCCAAACTTTCCAAGGCCAAGTTAACCAGGTGGCTGTCATGCCAGTCCTGCTCCCTGAGTCCCTGGCTTCTTTCCATACATCTTCCTGGGAGGTGGGGTGTAGGGTTGGCTGTTGGCAGATGCCAGCACAGACCTGGTGCAGAGATGGTGGCAGGTCGCCAGCTGAGGGAACAAACAGGTCTTCTGCTGTCTCTCTGGTCACATACATTGATAGAAACACATCAAGTATTCAGCCAAAGGCATCCTCATGCCCAATGCCACCTCCAGCACAAGGCAGTACCCTATCTCGGGACCCTTTCTTTTTATAACCGTTCCCAGGCCACAGAACCCTGGCCTGGTCTGACCATGCCAGCGTGAGACCAGGAGGAGAATGTCTCAGTGATGCATTGCTTCCCCCTCCAGACCTACCTGTCCTTGTAGGAGGCAGCAAAGGGTGCTACTCGTGCTCCCTTTCCTGGCTGGTACCATCTTGACACCATGCCCCCTCCTGGCACAGCAACCCAGAGCTGGGGGCATGCAGCAGTTGTCTCTGCTGCCATGGGGAGCCCACCTCCCACAGCCCTTGTTCTCCTGGGGATTTGACTGCCTCCCAGACCTTCACTTCCAGGATGCAGGCATGTCCCCAGGCCGCAGGGCAGCTCCTGTGGCCCCCAGTGTCTGAGGCAGAGAGCCTGCTGGTAGGATTTTCAGTGCCCAGCCAACAGGTTCTGAGCGCAGCTCTAGGCCTGTGCCATAGAATCACAGCTTGGGGAGACCTTGGTGTGGTGTGCCTGCCTGCTGCCTTACTGGTCAAATGACCTCTGCGGGTTTCCTCCTCTGCTACATATCTTGGTCCAGAACGCAACTGTCTGTACACAATTGTACAGCATATGCCCTGGACACTTTTTTTGTAGCCACTCTCTCACCACCTGACCTGCTTCCTGAAATTCAGCCCACACCAACATTTAAGTGCCTTCTATGAGGTTCCCAAGTGCCCTTCCCAAGATGGCTACCAAGGAGAATATTCCAGGCCCTGGGCACTGCTGTGGACAACAGGACCCTGGCCTTCCCCCACATGTGCCTGCTACACAGGCCTCACCAGCCAGACCCCAGCACTTCGGGAGGGGGGCGTGGAGGGCGGGGACCTGCTGGCCCGTGCCCTCCTCCCCCATCTTTAAGATGATGAAACAAGCTCCCAAATCTAAAACTATATTATTGGTGAGTGGTGTCATGTTCGCTGACCACCTAAGAAAGATAGGGCTTGGTCAACTGTTGGAAAGTGACCTTTATTGGAGGGAAGAAAAGTCCCTTTGGGTGCCTTTCCTCCACGCAACGGAGAAGCAGAAGAAAAGCAAGAGGCCCGCGCATGAAAAGGTGCGCAAAGACACGTGCCGGAGGCTTTTATACTCCTGATGCAGAAGCGGGAGCAGTGCTCCAGACCTAATTAGGCAAAGAAGTGCCGGCTGAGTTTGCCATTGGTCTGCCAGGGCTCCGCTGCCCTGTTGAGGCGCCGGATCCACACCGCCTCTTCCGGGTCTGGCCAGAGGTCAGAGTGACACCCTCTCTGCTCACCTCCGTGACCGCGGGAATCATCAGTTGGCTCAGTATAAGATGCCACGATCAATCAGCAGAATTATAAAACTGTACAGGAGGTACAAAAATAGGCCTTTTACCTTAGATAATGACTTTCACATCATCATGCTTTAAAAATACACATAGAAGTTGTACAATCTGGCAGTGTATAAAATATAAAGCTAAAAAGAGGATTTTAGGTTCCACAAAAAAATGATTGTACCGCACAACATATACCAATTAAACAATTAACCAAAGAACACAGATTGGCAGAGACTTTTTAAAATCACCTAAAAATTAACATTGTACCCCGACCAAGTTATTTACCCTTTAAATGACAAGACGGCTTACTGTAAGGTTTCCCTCTTGGGGAAGGATACAGTTTAACTTTTCCAGTTTTAAAATGGTCAAGGGTGTTCTCCAAAAATGAATCTGATGTGCTTTGAGCAAGTGCAACTCTAACTTGATACACTTCAGAGTAAAAATTAAATACATATAAATAGGTTCAATAAATAGAGGTCATTGCCAAAAAACACAACACCAGGCGTGCAGCTGCCGATGTTGTGGTGGTGACAGTAATGCTTAGGTACGTGGAGACGCCCCCATCACAGCTTTCGACTACTGGAAAGGAATACTATGTTCCCCCAAACACAACTCAGAGAGGCAAGGGGGTGGTGCTTGGGCCAGCAGTGTCGGTTAAGGCTGCTCCAGGGGAAGGCTCGTGCAGATGGCCCTTCGTACTTGCCTCCTGAATACGGAAAGGGTTTATTGTCAATCACAAAAATCACAGCCAGAACTACTCACAGGAAATCACTGTCTCACACAGAAAACAGACTCTAGCAAGAGTGCAAATATTTTGGTTTGAAAGAGAATGGCCCAGCCCTGGACTGTGGACTCCAGCTCCGCTGTGGGGGACACCTGCTAACTTTCTGGGAAGCCGGGGCCGGGCCACTGCCCACTGAGACGGCTAGCTAGGGTGCAAAGAGCTGTGCAAGGACAGGTGGAAGGCTGCGAGACATACAGAAAAGCAACGTTAAGAAACTCCAAGAGTGAGGCAGAAAGCCAAGTGAGGAGTCGGAGGCTCTTCCCGTGGGCACTGTGCTCCCAGCATGGAAGGCTGTGAAGACCATGTCCGCCCACCCTCTGAAGGGACCCCACGGCTGGCAACCAACAAACAGGGGAAGACACTGAGCAATGAGCAGGCCGATGAGGGTGCAAGGGACAGAGCGTGGGACAGTCCCAGAAAAACCAGACTCAGACAAAGTTCAAGTTCTGAACAGATGGCTGCCCCAGAAAGCCCCACAACATGAAGGTGTAGTATCTTTGAAAGGGCTTCAGCAGCTGTTAACCTCTGGTATCACTGCAAGACAATGGCCAACGATAACCAGTCACATTCACCCAAAACCTCCCCAGGGGATCAAGGCACCTTCCTTCTTGAGTAGGTGGGAAGACAATCCTGTTCTGAATTCACCTGCAGATCCTGTAGTTTGCTGGAGGAGGCAGGACTCACACCTCCCCACTCATCTCAGGGTTCCCCAACATGCAAAAGCGCTTGTGCCTAACAACCTGGGGAGCTCTTCCCCAATACAAAGACCAAAGCACTAGTGAGGAAGTCCTGGTGCATGGGCCATAGACGGGGATGACAGGACACGGACAAGGCCTGAGTGAGTTCTAGGGTCCTCTGGGTCCCTAGCAGATGTGATTAAGTTCTGTTTTAGGGTTAACAGCTTTCCAGAATTAGAGAAGCGCCTTCAACTGGGCTCCAGGTCAAACAACTCTGCTGCAGCGCAGTGTAGAATGCTGCCAAGCCCACTGGCTGAGTGGGACAGGAAACAGGGACACCTGCGACCAGAACCGTGCCCCACTGAGGATTCTCAGGGAGTTTTCATGACAAGTGTCCAGCAAGACCCTGTCAGCCCCATCACCTGGGTGGGCTGGTGAGTGCCTGGGTTCCTAAGGGTGATGGACAGAGCCTAGCCTGATGGCAGCCTAGGGCTGGGGCAGGAGTGCAAACCCCAAATGCCTGCTGTCCCTCTACTAGACTTTCTCCCAGCAAATGCCTGCTGTCCCTCCACCAGGCTTTCTCTGTAGTGTTTGGTAGCTTCACACAGCAGCACTCCAATCCTTCAAGCCAAGCAGTCTGGGGAGCCAGGGGTTAGGAGCTGAAATGGTAAGCAGAAAAGGCAATGCCAAGAGTTGTCTCAGGACACGAGGCCAGGACCTGGAAACTCTTCACAGTCCCCAGAGGGCAAACAGCTCTGAGAACAGGGGCAGTGGTAGTCTCTGAGACAGTTCGAGTCAAGCATGCATGACCCCTCTCAGGCTGTCACCACCAGGGCCCTGCTTTGTCCTGCCCTGCCCAAGGCGAGTCATAGCTCTTAGGCACTGAGGCAGAAGGTGTGGTCTGGTGTGCAGCTAGGAAACAGACCCGCAGCAGCAGGCACCAAGGAGGCAGAGCACAGGGCGGGGGCTCCCCAGTCCCCAGGGAGGCTGGAGGTGGAGGCTCAGGACCACCAGAGCCCTCAGGAGAAGGGGCCGAATTCCACAAGGCAGAGTACAGCCCTGATACAGGCACACAGGCAGAAAGGCTCTCATGCAAGGAAGAAACAGTGCTCTTGCCACGGGCAGCTGCAGCTGGACCACAGCCAAGCACCTGCTGGCTCGGCCTCTGGGCTCTGGGACTGATGGGCAACGACCCACTCACCCGCTCAAGGAAGGACATCAGGACCGTTGCCTCACCCAGAAACCAGATTGCAACTTCACTAAGTCTCTTGGGAGAGAAGTGAGGAGCTTTTGACTGAAGCAGATGTTGAAAACTGCATTAATTTTAGGAAAATCCCTACCTGGTACTGGCACAGTTCTGAGCCTACCACTTTGACAAGGACACACTTGACAGTATGGCTAGAATGCCTGTCTCCAGCCAGCATAGCAGCGTGTTCAGGAAGTGCACAACCCCTCTGGATGGCATGGTGATTTTTGGTACCACACAAAGCTGAGGATGTATTTGATCTGGCTTTTTTGTTTTTCCTGAGCAAGCTTCAATTTTAGCTTACTTAAGCCAGTGTAGCAGTCTACAGTCTGATCAAGGCAGTTATTAAAATTAGCCAACAGGAGCAGGAAAACTGTCCCCTGTAGCC